ATTTGTGACCCTGGAGCACAAAACCAGTCTTAAGTCGCTGGGGTATATTTGTAGCAATAGCCAAAAATACATTGTACACTCTAAAAAATGCTGGGTTAAATACAACCCAGTGCTGGGTAAAATAGGGACAAACCCAGCAATTGGGTTGTTTTGACCCAGCGGTTGGGTTACTACCCAGAAGGTTGGGTTAAACATTTAACCCAACCGCTGGGTCAAAACAGCCCAATTGCTGGGTTTGTCCCTATTTTACCCAGCACTGGGTTGTATTTAACCCAGCATTTTTTAGAGTGTATGGGTCAAAATTATCGATTTTTCTTTTATGCCAAAAATCATATTAAGTAAACTTCATGTTCCATGAAGATATTTTGTACATTTCCTACCGTAAATCTATCAAAACTTAATTTTTGATTAGTAATATGCATTCCTAAGGACTTAATTTGGACAACTTTAAAGGCGATTTTCTCAAAATATATATATTTTTTGCACCCTCAGATTCCAGATTTTCAAATAGTTGTATCTCAGCTAAATTTTGTCCTATCCTAACAAACCATACATCAATGGAAAGCTTATTTCTTCAGCTTTCAGGTGATGTATAGCCTAAATCTCAATTTCGATAAAACTAACCCTTATGACTGGTTTTGTGGTCCAGGCTCACATATTCTGAAAATACATACGTAAAAGTTTTTAAATACTCCTCCCGTTTTCCACTGGACAGAAAAACATAGTTCTTCTGCCCCCAAATCACTTAATGCTGAGCCAAAAATCAGAGCATTGTTTGCATAGCACCATAGAGTCCCAGCATTTTTTTTTTTCAGGGGAATTAACATATGAATGGCTTACCAATGATGATCATATCTTACTAAATTACTATATATATATATATATATATATATATATATATGACCCTCATCATATTTAGCTGAGATAGAACAAATAATTTTAACATAAAAAAATTGCACCCGTCAGCTTTAAGGAGCACAGTGTTTGGGGAGGGTTCTTCACTACAGCATGAGTGTGAAGGTGGTTCTGAGGAGGACAGCTCCAGTCATCTCTGCCGAGCCACAACCGAACTACAGCGAGTAGTTCCCCCCCCCAACATAAGTGAGCATTATGGATTAATGGAGGGGAGGCGACTGTAAATCACCACTCTTGTGCTGATTTGGATTTAAACGCTGGACAGATAAATTGTCATTTGAGGAGAGTAGCAGGCGAGCCGGTACAATGGATACGAACATGCGCAAATTTACGGTGAGAAGATGGTTTTCCGTGTACCTGCGCAGAAAGTCGCGATCCAAAAGCTCGAGTTTATGCAAACTAGAGGTGGGTATCACTTCATTGGCTTCGTTTACCAACCTGTGTGTCTTATTTATTGAATTAAAGGTCTTGAGTGCCTGTAAACAATGTCGAAATCTGACGGTTGCGGTGTAAAGTTGTGATGAAGTGCGAAATGTGAAAACGCAACGTCAAATATTTCAGTGTTCAGTGTTGCCGAGATTTATTAACAAAGCTCTTATTTTGTTATTTACATCAAACATGCATTGCATTTTAGATTAGATTTCTCATAGGTTTTGGTTTGAAATAGCCTGAACTGAACTAGTCAAAGAAAAGCATAGGCTAGCCTCTAGGGATATGTAGCCTATAGAGAAGTCCCCATAATTTGGAACCCATCCTGAAGGATCCTAATGGGAGCAAAGAAACCACTAAAATCAAATAAGATCCCACTGCTGTTCTTACAGTATTTATTGTTTCCTTTTGTATGTTGTGTATCTTTACACGTTGCATATATTGTATGGGGTTAACTGCAGCAGGACAATTTCACAAAGCTGTAAGAGTTTTAAAAGAGTTTCTTTAAATTTTTGTGTTGTCCTATACAGGAGCATTTCATCGCTGGTTTATAAAGCTTTTGGGACCCTAATAGTTTGATCGGGACTTGACACTGACACTGCAAAAACAGTAAAAATTCTGTTTTTTATTTTATTGCACAATATTTGACATATTTTATAGGTAAAAACAACAGAAATGTATTGCACATAAACCATCACATTCGTTTATGTTGTATATTTGAAAAAAAAAAAATGTTATCAGGTAGATTTAGAGTTATGTATGTTGCATTTACTCTGATGGTGTTTTGTCTCTGTGTGGGCAAAACTCTACACTCTAATTATTATCTACACTCTACACTAATTATTCATTTTAATATTATTATTGCCCACTATTTCTGGAGAGTTTTTTTGTGTGGCCTTCCTTTGTATACTACCTGTTATTATCAGCACATTTTACAGTAAAGAAGAAAAGAAGGCTTTAATAGCTGAAAAAAGTAAGTCTACTGTTAGAACTGTACAGTTAGAATCTTTACAATATACTCATCAAAATGATTTTACATTATGCCTTTAACAATGTCACTGTTCTGCCAGTTCTTCCAGCCACAACATCCAGT